TATACTGTATTTCTTACTTTTAAAATAAAATGCAGTTACATAGTTTATATCTCTGCGTGAGATATATATAATACAGTCAAATATAATAATGAGATATATTACAACAGTCAAATATANTAATATATACATAAACTAACCTAATAACTTAAATATGATTGTATTGTAGTTACTTACGTTTGTTTCTGGTCATTTTTTATAGAATGATTGATGATGATTGATGTTGTTTCGTTGCACTCTTTATCTATTTCTCCCTCTCTCTCTTTCTGACTCTCTCTCTCTCTTGCTCTCTCTCTCTCTCTAAATATTTTCTTTTTCTTTGGTATTTGTTTTTATATTTTGTTTTATTTTCTTTATATATTTTATATTTATGAATTTTTTTGTTTATTTTTGTTTGTTTATATAATATTGTATCATTTTACTTTAGTTGCGCTTTAGAGGACTTGTCCCAGAAGAGCTGGAATAAATAACGCTTTCTCTCTCTCTCTATCTCTTCTCTCACTCACTCGATCACTATTCAAACTCTCTCACTCTCACTTTTACTCTCTCTTTCTCTCTCATCATACTTACTTTTCTCTTTCTATTCTTTCTTCTAACTAACGCGCTTATATCGCCATCTGCTGGAAAACTACGAATATGCACATCACACGACGAAAAACGTGAATTNCTTACTTCAAAAACTTTATCGTCGCATATTTCTGAAAATCAGAAACAAACAAAAAAAACGTAAAAATACTTTTTTTTAAATATTTTATTCTGAATCGATTAAGACCAAAACGAAATTGATCGGTTCAGTCGTTACTTAGATATTGCCTTGAGAAAATCTTCCCACTTCTATTTTGCATGAATCTCGCGTATAATAGGCACGGTGTGCTCGCGCAGTTCGAGCGCAACTTTGTTGCGTGTGAAACTTGGCGCGAGGCACTATCGTGCCTCTTGATTTATACAATATTAATAATCATATACACCTCGGACTCTTTTTACACGGCCTTTTCTTACACGATTTCAGAGTTACACGATTTATTCCCAAGTACACAATTTTTTTAAACGATTTATTCACAGTTACACGATTTTTTTGTCAATGTGTATTTGCTACGGAGATCTTGTAAGATTCTTCGTGTTAGTGAACTAGATACTCATGATGCTCAATGCTCACGTTACTAACTTATTGCTGTCAAGGTGCAGAGTGTCGTTCAAAAATTTTTCGCTGGCCAAGGAGACCTCGATAGACCAGAATGAGTCTACTATTGTATGCTCTTATCATCTTATTTACATTATTTATTATGTAATGTCAAGTGCAACACGAACGTCAGCGTGTCATACTGTGGCTGATTACCGTAGCCAAGTGATATGCTGGCGATTATGAACTAAATGTATATGTAAATCGTATATTGTTATCAAAAAAAATAATAAACCGTAAAATAAATTTTCGAGATGTTATACTGAAATTTTATGTGTTAGTCAATAAGGCCAGAAAAGTAAAATTCAGATATGGCATTCAATTCGTGTGTTAAAATTTATGTATTTGAATTTTCCTTTTGTCAAAGTCTTTTGATTATGGCAAATTATTGCAAACTATTCTCACGAAGAACGTACATGACTCCTCCACACTGTGTTTACGGAAGTGAGTGATATGTGCGTGATACATTACATATACAATATGCACAATATAAAGGCTGCAATATGAATATACTCAACGATCTCTCAAGTCATGTTGCACTGCAACATGACTTGAAATATTCAAAGAATAAAAGCATCTTTATTTGAAAAATTACTATCTTTATCGTAATATATAATAGAAAATAGTTCCTTATATAAAAGATGCTAAAATTAAATTTTAGAAACAACTTATTTCAAAAATATATTAATGTGCGATTACATAGAGGTGTTTTTACAATAAAATTTTGTACACATGTATAAATAACTACATAAATGTAGAAATTTTCAGTGGCGGCCTCAAACCGATTCTAAAGAGTGAAACACTTATCATGTATAACACGGTTTTGCGCTATTTTCTCAATGTATCTCGAAAACTATTAAAGATATCAAAAAATGTTTTATATAAAAGTTTTATGGAAACAACACCTCTATTCACCTACATTAATAGAATTGTTAAAAAAAATGTTTTGTAAATTTTGTTACACAATTTTTTTAAAACTTATTTTTTTTTAATTCTATTAACATAAATAAATAAAGGACTTTTTTCTATAAAATTTTTGTAAAAACTATTTTTTAATATCTCTAATCATTTTCGAGAGAATTGAGAAAAATGAAAAGCCGCTCTACATAAGAATGGTGATTTCATCCTTTAAAACCGTTTTTTAGCAGCACCGGAAAATGTCAATACTCATCTATTGACTTCCCTTACATGTGTGCAAAGTTTCATCAAAATCAGAATTTTCGAATTCGCGAGGTTTCCTTGTAAGTCAAATTTAAAAAGAAATGTAGATATAAAGAAATATTAAGTTGTTATCGCTGTCGTGTACTTGTTGTAACTCATGACTCGTGTCGTGTGTGTATAGGCTTTATATCTATATGTGGGTAGGCACCTTTTATGTGTGAGTATTTAAAGTTATTTATAGTCGTGTTTAATCTTATCAAGTAATGGTAAGTATCTGTTGTCCAGTGCTTCGGTGTCTATCATTAAGTTTATATTGTTTTTATGTATTTTTATGTGTATCATTTTGGATGTGATTCTTTTGTAGAAATTTGATTCGACGTCCAAAACTCTGATGGAATTCCAGTCAAAATTATGGTTATGCTTAATAGAATGTCTAGCTATTACGGGTGTTTCTGTGTGGCCTCTTTTTACATGATTGGAGTGTTCTTTGATCCTAGTGATAAGTTGTCTTTTGGTTTGCTCTATGTAACATTTGTCACATGTTTCACATTGAATATAATAAACAATGTTTGTTTAATTTATTTGTAGAACTTGATTTTTTTGTGTGTTCTATCGGCTGTGTTGTATTAGAAATGTAAGAAATTACAAAATATTGTGCCGATTCGCTTTCTTGTTCGGTTGATGTTGTTCCGGCGTGTCTATTCAACCTTGTACAAAATAACAATCTCAATCTCTATTTATTGTATTGAATTTACATCTATTGAATAATTATTGTTTATTAAAATGTTACTGACTAACTGTCTATTTTTTGGTGGAAAGTAGAGTCGGATAGTAATATTGCTCGATCTGTTAATGTGTATATGGTTCCTATTTTTTGGCAAAATGGGTTCTGCGACTAATAATTTAAATATCTCTCTGAGAAGGTTGCTTTGTGATACCAATCACAAGTCAACCTTCCATTTTTTAAACTTATGTTAATGTCTAGAAAACTGAGACCGCTATCACGTTGCACCTCAAGAGTGAATTGCAATCTTTTGTGGTACGAGTTGAATACACTTAAAACAGGTTGACGTAAGTCAACCTGGTCTATAAGTATAGATAACGCTATGTCGTCACATATCTTTAGTAGAAAAGAATTTTGAAAGTTAGTGTTGAAAGCTTAGAATAAGAGAGAAGAATACAACAAAATACGCGGGAAAGTTTTACATATGTGAAGTGACTATGTCTGGCAACTAATTCGAAGAATGTAGTTTTCTTTCGTATATTCGCTCGTGACGGCGTGTTCGTATTTTGTTCTATATGGTCGCGCGAGGATGACCGCAAGGAGTTATCTATGCAGCGGAATGCGCTGCCGCACGCAGAGCGTTAGATAAGGCACGCGGCAGATGCGCGATCTTCGTTTAGCGCGAGCAAGACAGTGGACATACCGCAATATCGCGGTCAGGCGGCTACGAGTTTTGGTATAATTCGCACTTTCAAATCTCGGTATTCAATAAAACACAGATAGATGATATTCAATCTTTCCAAAGTACCCGCGCTATAACGACTACAACGGACATAATCGGCACAAAGATATATTACGACAAAAATACTGAAAAAAATGAAAACATTACACGCACAAATGATGAGGTATATTATACCTAGATAGTTGTGACCGCGGCACGCCGAGAGAGCAGCAACTATAAGGGACTTTCGGCAGCAATTAATTTTATAAATTGTAATTAATAAAGTAAGTATTTACGTTAATATACTCTACGGTATCGAGCTAACAATAGTCGCTCAGACTCGATCCGGGACCGTATAACACTCAAAATATACGAGAGAGAGCGAGCGATCACTCACGTTCGTCGGCACTTTCCTCATGTTGATCCACGTGGGTAAAGAATTCGGCAACTTTTCGCTATTCTGAAGTCCTCTTACTCCTCCTCTCGTTTCGTTCTCTCGTTCCTCTCGGGTGATACTCTATTGACCACAGTACGATTCGACACCGCTCGATTCGACACAGATTTATTCGACACGAAATTATTCGACACCGTACGATT